TGAAAAAAAAAATATATATATATATATATACATATATATATATAAGAATATTGTTTTACTGTGCATTAAAAGCTGGAAATTTGATAATCAATCGAAAACACGGGTCTTCCGGGTTTTAGGACTACAAAAAGCTGCTCTTTTCGAGAAAACTACAATTCCCAGCGGCAAGCGCGACTGAGTGACGTTGGCGCGGCCGGGAGCGCGCACAGCGGAGCGGTTGATGTTGATGCTCAGAGGACACGGAGTGATCCGAGCATCACCGGGAACCGACTGAATTATCGTGCCAAATCTCTTTGGGCTTCGGTAGGATGCGTCAGGACGGATCCATGCAGGTTTGAACGGGTCTTTTGAAAGCTTTTGTTGTCACATGTGGCTCTATAATATTAAGTTATTTAATTGTAATTCCAGTTTTCCTGAGCATTTCCGAATTGTAAAGAAATGAATGTAAGGCGAAATGTATCACAATTGATTGTTGTAACGTATTAACCTCGTTCTCACCATAATTAAATCTGTCGTTATGGTCAAATGAACGTAAGGGTGAATAAAATTGACATTTGTTATTGATGGAAACACACCCTTAACCCTCTGTAATGTGGGGGTTGGGGGAATAGTCCTGTACTAAAGCATTTTATAGCTTTAAATCGCGTCCTCTCTCTACATTGATCATTATCATAATTAAAAGATTGTCAGCTTGACTGTATTTTTAAGATGGTCTTTGAGGATGGGTTTTATGGATGATTTTCTAGGTTATTTCAGCCAATGACAAGCTCTAAATTTGATTAATGTCAAGCGTAAATAAAATGTGATATTTGATTTATTGTAGGCCTATCTAGTGTTAAACATGTAGTTTGTTTGCACGTGTAATGTGTAGAAGCTCAATAGGTCTGTACTTTTCAAAGCTAATTCACAAGTTTCATCTTTACTGTTATTTAAACCATATGTCAAATCTGTCTTTTTTGTACCCATATTTAAAAAAAAAGAGGTTTAGGTCTGATTAAATTTTCAAATAATTATAGACCGATAATCGGTTTACCCAAATAATCTTTACATTTTCACTGTACCGCAAACACCATTGTAATTTTTATATTTTGTATAAATATACATTAGGCTATATGTATCAAATGTTTTTCGCAGTTATTCCTTAGATATGCATGATATTACAATAAAAATTATATATATTACAACAAATTTAGATTTTTTTTTTTACAATGTATTAATTTATTCATTTTTAATTTGATTACACTTTTTTTTTTTAGATTATTTTGAATAGCAAAAAATGTAATACAGTACAAAATTACAAATTTAGATTGCAAAAACAGTGTCAATACAGTAGATTATTGTTATTAGTGTTATTATTCATGATTATATTGTAGTCTGATTATAATTGTATTAAAAAAGACAGAAATTAAAATATGCTTCTACACTGGTTAGCAGACAATTAAACAAAGATAATATCGATCATCAAAAATAATAACAATGTCAGTATTATCAAACGACTTTAATTAATCCAAATGTCTCTGTTAATAAATAGCAGTTTAGTGTTAGATTTTTATTGTTGTTAAACTGTAAAAAATCTGACCTTCTTCAGTCTTCTGTTCAAATTGCTTGATTAGTGTCCACTATCTTATGAAATATAGCTCCATAATAGATGCATATAAGCTTTTTGAAGATTTATTGGTGCAGATAAAATGCACATCTGTGTTGCCGAAGCTGTTTGTTCGAAAGCGTCTTTTCTCGTTGCAGATGGCTGCGACACAGAAAGAAGGATCTGACCAGAACTTCGATTACATGTTCAAACTGCTGATCATCGGCAACAGCAGTGTAGGAAAGACGTCGTTTCTCTTCCGGTACGCTGACGACTCCTTCACGTCAGCGTTTGTGAGCACGGTGGGCATCGATTTCAAAGTCAAAACCGTCTACAAGAACGACAAGAGAATCAAACTGCAGATATGGGTGAGTTGGCCTACATTAGACAGCAGGTTTCATTAGACTAGCCGTGTAGCTTGAAATGAGGCCGCTTAAATTGATGCCTTGCTTGCCTCAGGTCAGTGCTTCTCAACTGGTGGGTTGCAATCCACTAAATTAGACAGATGCCAGCATATTCTAGTTCGATATTCTCTCCTTCTCAAAAGTAAATAGTGCATCTGACTCCTTGTGCATGGATATTCATTGCCTAGGGTGATGAATTTCATTCATGATTGGTAAACTGATCTATGACAAGATACTTACTATTTAACATACTAAACAAAAGTCAATTTGTTGCATCATATTTCTAGACAGATTATTTACCAACTTCTGTCTTTTTGGCACAAACATCTGAGTCGGTGTGACTCAAAATGAAAATTTGAAATGCTCAAAGCAGGTGGTGAACAAACATGATGGATAAAAGTGGCATAGTGGAATGATGTTTTGTACATTTGTTAGACGTCTAGTATGCATGCTCTCAGAAACCAGACAGATACAGGAAGGTTTTAAACCGAACTGATTTCATTCATGTGCAATTGAGGATTCCGTTTTGCCAGAGTTATTCAGCCCTTGGAGAATCATCTTTTCATGACACTAAATATAGTCGCCCCCTTTTGCAGAATAGAGCTGTGCCATTACAGCTCGTACCTGCTAAAAAAATCTGTTATGTTTCTGATTATCATGTTTATCGCGCTGAAATCATGCGGTTTAAACCATACGAGTTTAAATATCTGATACACGGTTTTCTGAGCGCACACATCCGAAGCACACGGATAGAAAGCGGCTCTCACAGCATGTCCTGATTATAGCACTTAAAACCTGGAAAAGTCAGATTTTCATGATATGTCACCTTTAATGCGAACGAAATCTTCAATACGGATTGATTGAAAAGCAATAATGTTTTTTATAGGTAATACACAAGCTGTATGGAAAGTAGCCTAAAGCAAATTCCTGTGTTGAAAATTGCTGCATGTGGTTTCCGAACTGATTGGCATTGACGTCATTGATTCAATAACGTCATTATTTTAACTTCATGTGTGGAGAGCGAACGCTGATTGATTGCACATTCAGACAGTTTTACATCAGCCTGAGTTCCATAGTCATTGATTATATGATCAATCACTCATTTTTACACAAGCACAGCTGTTATTAAAGGGGTAATTCAACGCTGGCAAGATAGAATTATAATAAAAGTTGTCAGTCTATGCAATAGAAATAAATAAAAAAAAAGAAATTGGTGCTAAATGCTTGAAAAAACTGTGAAAAAGGGCTGTAGCAAAGAAAGGTAGGAAAAGACCAAAAAAAATATCTTAGTGCAGGCAAAACAGAAAAATAACACACATTGTTCATTTACTTATATTATCGACAATGCTATATTATAGCAATACAAAGCTGTATTTTTCTTTATTCATACCAAGAAAAGTATAAGTGTAATAAATATTAATAAATATAATATATATTATTTATGTATAAGTAATAAAAACAAATATTATATCAATACATATGCTTTTTTAGCTCAATTTTCTTCCAGTGAATTAGTATTTTCAACACTGCCTTTAACAGGCAAAACATGCAAAAATGCAGAAAAACAATCAGTAGTTTATAAAAAAGCCCTGGAGCTTCAAAAGTCAGAAGACTTATAAATGGGATATTTTGGTGCAGGTGACACAGAAAAATAATACACATTGTTTGTTTACTTACTACTGAGATTTTAACGATACAAAGCCAGTTGAGAATCGGTGAACTCACCATTTAACTGCTAATTTAATGCTTTTATATCAATAAATTGTTTGTTCATAATCATTTTAGTTGTAGATTGTGTTGTAAACTGTAAGCACTGGGATGTCTGAGAAATCCCACTTTTTTAAAGAAATACATTTTTAGCGTAGTAAAGGTTGAATTATCTCAGTTTTTGTTTGATTAAATACTGTTGTTGCACTATTATTTACATTATTTCACAAAACGCAACCTAGGACATTTCAGTATGTTGGACATGTGTTTATCACATGTCCAACAGAATAAAGAATCACAGAATAAACGTGGTAAAACATTCTCAAGGGTCTTTATAGCTCCTGTCGTTCTCCTATTATATCAGCCAGATGTAGAGGACAGGAACAGCTGGGCTCAATGGTTTTGTTCCAGGAAGCGCAGCCGCATCAGCTATGAATCATGTGTCTCATTCAGCGCCGTGAGAATAGCTCATTTAGCATTATAGATCTGAGCAGCTTCATTTCGAGTTTCAAGAATGCAAGTCAATCAATCCAGTGAAAAGCTTTCCAATCTGTCCCGGCATGCCATTTAAAGTGACAATGCACATCTCAGAATGCCTGATAATTACTGTGCTAGGCCAAAAAGTGACAAGTAACTTTATTCCTGTTGTTAAGGCGAAATGTTGAAGCTAACAAGCTAAACTTTGTACCCTGATAGAACGCATCCATTATAATCAACAAAGCTGTACACATTGCAAGCGCATGTTTTAATAGCGTTGCGACCCTTGCTCTCAATGAAGAGGGTTGTAGAAGTGTGTCAAGAAACTAGACTCTCAGCTATCACCTCACACTCATTGAGGAGATGTTACAATGAACTAATTACGAGTTTCTTAGAAGAAACATAATAGGAAGTGTTCCCACGTACCTCACATGTATTATTAAGATCACTCTGTGATCACCTGACACCTCTGAACCTGCTCTAATCGCACAACATCCGGCATACAGAGAGTTCACTTACTGCAGTTCACAGTATATGCTGTATTTACTGTATATCAGTATTATATTATTTTAATATTGTCAGATGAAATCCATGCCTGCTTAATTAACTAGCAAATCAATGTAGGCTAATACTTGATAAATTTTATGTTGATTGTCTCTGATATATACGGTTGTGCACATAAGATTACATACCCCTTGCAGAATATGCAAATATGTTAATAATTTTAACTAAATAAGAGGGATCATGAAAATTGCAAACTATTTTTATTTAATACTCTCCTGAATAAGCTATTTCACATAACAGATGTTTATATATACTCCACAAGACACAATAATAACTGAATTAATAAAAAATTACCCCGTTCAAAGGATGGTCACACCAAATGTTGATTTAATTTAGTTAATAGAAGTTAATTAACCGGTCAATTGAAAATCTATTTATGACATTATTTTTGACAGCATCCTCATTTTATTGCATTTTTACAAAAGTGCCTAAAACTTTTAACAGTACTGCAGCTTTGCAGGTAGGTTTCTTGAAGCATCTTGGAGACATTGCCACAGTTCTTCTGGATTTAGTCTGTCTCAATTTGTTCTGTTATTTATATATATTGAAATTTTACTTGCTATCATTAAACTCCATATATACACACACACATATATATATATATATA